TACACTTTCTCTATTTCTTTGCTAATTCCTTTGTTCTCATATACATCAAGCATCGTGGCGACTGCTTTCCCATTGCACCATCTTCCCTGTTGCATTTCCTGCATTCGCCACAGCAGATATCCCTGTTTTGTAGCTGCCTCCTTCACACTTTCAGCAGCTCGACCCTTGGCAACTGTAGGAACTGCCGTACAGTTTTCTGACTCCTCCTTGACATACACCTCTTCCCCTGACCTCCATCAGTAGCCAGCAGTCCTTTGCACGGGGACAATTTAAACAGGCTGTCTTCCCACAAGCCATGTGCTTTAGCAGTCAGCACTTCTCCCTTTCACCCTTGGCAAAAAAGCACTCCCCCAAAGGCAGGTCTCTTTATGGTTCTGTGATTCCCCTGTTCTTTTCTCTCCTCAGTTGACCGCAGCCAGCACATGGCCATTAGCACCCTACCAATTCCAAGTACAGGATAAAAATCATAATCAGGTGCAGTTCGCTTTGCCCAGCATAAGCCCTGGCTAGCCTAGAAGAAATCAAAATGTTAAAGCATCAGGGAAATGGAACAATCTTCCTATGGATCTGAAAAGGTTAGGGGGCTTGGTTCTGGTATAGTGATCTTCTGCTACACAGTGAGGCACAGAGAGAGAATCTGAGGAAGAAGCCCACCATGCAATCCAAATGCAGCATTACCCTGCAAAATAATTTATGTGTAACAAAATCCTTTTTCATTTTCAGCATTATTAGTTAAAAAAAATATTGGACAAAACCTACAAACTTTGTTCATGGGAATGTTAATGGGATTGATTTCCTCTGGGTAGATTCCTCTCTTTGGCAGGTGGAGAGCTATGCAACTTGACATTTTCGTGGCTTGATTATGATTCATGTGCTTTGTTTGATGTTTCCCCTTTTGGTTTGGATGTGATTTTTTAAGTTTTCCAAAGTATTTCTTACCACACCTCTACTGTGCCAAGAAGGTTTCTTTCCTTACTGAGGGACCTCATGTCAAAAGAGCATCCAGTTTTATTAATTTGATGGTTTAAGATGTCTTTTATTTCTTGATGGGTTGCATTGCTCAGGACTCATTTGAGCAAGGACAGGGGCTGTGTCATGCTACTTTTCTCCTACTTGAATTTTGTTTCCTGCTACTATTACAAACAAAGAAAACTGAACCGAATTTTAGACTCCTTTATTATGAGGACTCCTTTATTATACATACCCATAGAAGCCAAGAGAAGATACAGCTCCAACCACAGAACAGAAGGACAGTGTTCTCTGGTCTCAGGACACTATGGTCTGGCTGGCTGGATGTTGACTGGGCAGAAGTGTCCAGTCCACCCTGCCTGACAGCTTCCATTAACCTCCCGCTTGCCACTGTGCAGAGTAATGCCAGTGTCACTCTACTGACACAGAGCTCCCCTTCCACCTGGTGAAGAAGTGAACAGGCAGAAGTGTCACTGGCAAGATTCCCCAGATTCAATAGTCAGTAAAGGTAAAGGGACCCCTGACCATTAGGTCCAGTCGTGGCGGACTCTGGGGTTGCGGCGCTCATCTCGCTTTATTGGTCAAGGGAGCCAGCGTACAGCAGTGCACGGAACGCCATTTTTCTTCCCGCCGGAGCGGTACCTATTTATCTACTTGCACTTCGTGCTTTCAAACTGCTAGGTTGGCAGGAGCAGAGACCAAGCAACGGGAGCTCACCCCGTCGCGGGGATTCAAACCGCCGACCTTCTGATCGGCAAGCCCTAGGCTCTGTGGTTTAACCCACAGCGCCACCCACATCCCTTTCAATAGTCAGTAGAAGCCCCCAAATGGAGCTTTCCAGGAAGAAGTGGGGTAGTTCAGGGCTGAGCTGAACTGGTCAAGAATCCACTGAATCCCAGCCTGAATCCTTTTTTTAATGAAATTTTATTAAGACTTTTCATAACACAATAAAATTAAGAAACTAATCTAAACAAAGCAAAACAAAAAAGAGAAAGAAGAATGCAAAGTCCTCTCTCGCATGTATAACTAAACTTTTATCCCAGACAGAAAAAGGTGTATGCACACACAGTCACAATATTGTAAGTAAAACAGTATATTAAAAATGGAAGAATATAAATCTGTCATTTACTGAGTCAGACAGCTAGTCTATCTACCTTGGCACCTTTGACAGGCAGCAGTTCTCCAGGGGCCCAGGCAGGGGTCTTCCCCAGTCCTGCTACCTGAGAGCCTTTAAATGGAGATGTCAGGATTGAAGCTGTGATTCTAAGCATGTGTTGCAAATGCTAAACCACTAACTTTAGTGGGTTTGAATAGCCTGGGTTCAGATGTGGGGGCGGGGGAGAGTTATTCTGCCCTGGAAGCTTGTAAAAAGATTCTTAGATAACAATCAGTCTCAGGAACTGAAATGTGGTGATTCTGAACATGTAACACGTAAGCTAATCACACTTACAAAAACTTGTCAAATTTTTGAAAAAAGGATGCCTCTGTTCCACAATGTGAATGAACAGCCTTAAGTAAATATTGCACTACAAGTTTCCTTTCAAACAGCTCTCTGCCTCTCTGGAGCCTTATCTGATCAACTGGCATTAAATCGTTCTTCATGGTACCATAAATGTAATAAGTGCATTGTGTTTGCCTCTCACGTTTAGCTAATGAATCTAGCCATGGATATACTGAAACAACATTTGATAAAAATGTTAAGTGATGCCTATTTTTATTGGACTGAAGTAACATTTAACCATCAGTAATATAGATGATAAACTTGCAGCACTGGCTAACTTGAAATCACATGGGACCAGATGTGTGCCAATGGAAATAGTTTTATTAAATGCACCTGATTTGCAGCTACCTTTCAGTGCTCCCATTTAACACATTTAATGAGAACCAGTTTTAGCAGGGGGTTTTTTTCTGTTTTGGAATTCAGCAAGCTACACATCTGACGAGGTAGATCTCTTCATACATAAAGCCTTGAGGAAAACTCTCCATTTGAAGAAAGCCTTTAATGTAAACAAATATACTAATATATGAAGCTTCTTTTCTAGCATTATTTTCACACTCTTTGGAGGAAACCTGAAGCAGAAGCTATCAAAGCTTCCTTGAGACCTTTTAAAATGGAGGCAGTGTGGTGTGCATTTAAAAGAGCTCAGGCTGTTGACTACTACAAGGACCCTAGAATTACCAAAGGAAGAATGGTACCTAGCAGTGACAATTCTTCCCTTAACATCTGCAGCCATTGAAATGGCTACTTGGTCCTGGAGGCAGGGGAGCAGCCCTATTATCAGCATGTTGCAGTGTCCTCTTTCAGCTGCCATTTCACTGAAGTGCCAGGTGCAAAAAAAGAAGAAGGGGGAGGGAGATGCCTTTTAAAGGAGACTAAAGCGAAGAGAGTAAAGCTCACAGTGATTGCAAACTGGTAATTGCTCACTATGCGTTTCCTCATTAGAAGCAACTGGCTGTTTCAAGAATGCTTTTCTCGTTCTTTATTGCTTCAAGTGACTGTGGCCAAAGTTGGGGGTGGGGAAATGCTTTTCTGCTTTATACCTTTGAACCCTTTCTCCAAACCCTGGCCTTGCAGCATGCAACTTATTTCTAGTGTGTGTGTGATTAAAAGCAAGTAACTGTCTGAGCTATGGAAACTATCGCTCTCCATATATTAACTGTAGTTGTTGGAAAGGTTCGCATTCTTTTTATGAGCTTCCTGGATTTCTTCATGTCCTTATTTGGGGAAGGGAGAGATTGAATTCTGGATCATTCTGGTAACCACTGTGGATTTGATTTCTACTTTTGAATATACAGGGAGAAACTGGGGTAGCATAGTTGGCAGAGCCTGTTGATAAAGTTAATGTTGCTGCTGTTTTTGTGTAGGATCAAATAGTATATAGCTTCTGCTATTAGAAAAGCAGTTGCCCTGCACGTAAACACACTGGAAACAAAACCATTAAAAATATACAGGGGGGATGTATGGATTCAGATACAGTACTGGATTTATAAGTCCTTGCAACCTGCATTTATTGAAATACTTTTCAGGCCCATCTATATTTTGAAATGTTTTCAGGCACTGTATTCAGTACATTACAAGGGACATTGATTGTGCACATTTTGCAGTAAAACTAGAAGATGATGTCTAACCGTGGCCCAGCTCAGGTGTAACACTAAACTGTGGTTTAATGTCATGAGAACAAGCCATGGTGAAGCTTCTCTTTTGTGCTTGAGTGGGGAGCAAATCGGTAGTTTCCACTTCCAGTTTTGAATAAGCTGCAGTTCCCATTACATGTGAAGTTGGGAAAAGGTTTCTTCAGAAACCATGGTCTAATTTTGGTTAATTTGAACTGCAATTAGACTAAACTATTGTTTTCCAACTTTACGTGTAGTAAGTTGTTTGTTCAAGAGAGAGAGTGGAAGTTTCCAATCTCCTCTCTGTTTATGCTTAGGAGAAAGTGAAGGCATGGTAAGTGAAGCTAAGGGTAGTTGTGACTGTCATAACACTAACTTATAATTTAGCATTACATCTGAGCCAGACAATTATAATGAAATAGCAATGTACATTAATTCAAGATTATAGTTGAATGTGATTTAAATTACAAATCTCATACTGCAGTCAGGCTTCCTGCACAAATGCCAATGGAACCTTTAATTTATGTTTAATTAATGTTCATTTTAAATGAAAGACAATGGGTTGTATCAGATACAGCCCGGTGATAATTCTTGAAATGCAATCTTAATAAGACTAAACCTATGTAACATACATTAATAAATTACACCTTATTGGGATTGGGTAAAGGGTGATATCAAACTGGTTGAATGATAGTATTTGCAAATTGTTTCTTTAAAACACCAATAAAAATTGTAGTAATAAAAAATCCACAATTTTTGACAATGGAACAGCAAGTTGTTTTTATGCAAAATGATGAAGAGCTGGCATTAGGACCAGCACAAATAAGAATAATAGAATCAAAGAATTTTAGCACTGGAAGGGTCCCCAAGGGCCATCTAGTCCAACCCCTGCAGTACAGGAATCCTGCCCAAAGCTGTCCTTGGGTGGGCTTGAACCACCAGCCTTTGGTTAACAGCCAGTGGTACTGACCCATTGTGCCACTTGAGGGAATTAACATGAGTCAATGTTAACCTGAGTCAAGATTCATCAACAAAATACTCCTAATAAATAAATCTTGGAAATAGAAATGGCATTACCAATTCTACAAAATTGGCTCAAACTATTGGAGAAGAAATAGTACAAGTGTCTGAACTGTCTATGAAAGCAAAACAAAATCTAGAACAATTGAATATAATTGAGAAAATCATTCATGCAGATTGCAGTGATAGTAAAGCATATGCATATTTTTGGGTGCACCAAGGGAGATGGAAAACCTTTTGTTTATCAACGTCTGTAATACATGTTATCTGTACAAGGAGTGAAATGTATTGCTGAAATTTCAAATAGAAGTAAAAGGAGGAAGAACTGTACACAATAAACTTCTTATTTTCTCTTATGAGATGCAAAAACATACTGATGGTATCTGACTAAATCATATTCTTAATACACAGACTGAAATCAGTGGGCTTCAATTGGTCAAGACTAACTCAAGTCTTTTTATTTCAGTGTATCTACTTTGTGTATGACTTAAGTAGATAACACCTGATGAGTTGAATCCAATGATTGCAAGAGAGGAAAGCAAACTGTGCAACTGATCTTTCCCTTCCTCTCACACAAGGTTCCTCCACCAATTTTTGGACAATTCAGCCATCTCTCAGTAGCCTCCTTCAATGCAGCCCACAATGTTCAACTATTTGGAATGTTTTTTGGGGAGGGGAAGGCAGGGAGAAGGGAAAGATTGGTTGTCCGTCTGCCTTCTGTTTGCACAACGTTTGAATATAATCTAGTATCTGTCAACACCAACAGTGATGAAGCAAAAAGAGATACAAAAAGGAAGCATCAATGACTTTAGAAAGTGTTCTCTGGCCACTGATACAGGTTTTCCCCAAATGTAATGAAATCATCTATTTCTTTTGCAGAAAAAGCTTGTATGCAATGCAGATTTCCAGAAACTATCATCAGGTACCCTATTTCTTCAGTCAGGCAACAAAGAAAAGCAGCACACTTTGGCCAGTTTTAGGTAAGTAAAATATGAAAGTCAATTAAAACAGAAAGTTTGCCAAATATCTCCTTGTATTTGGAGATGGATCTATACCTATCAATATCAACTGCTGCAGTATAAGTACCTGCAACATATTTCACATCTGATATAGTATTGTCCATGTTTATAGCAGAATTCTCAGTAAATTCCGTTCTGTGGGTGCAGAATGCTGCAGCGAGGCTCCTCACGGGGTCCTTGCCATGGGAGCATATTTACCCAGTGCTCGACCAGCTGCACGGGCTCCCGGTGGAGTACAGGGTCAGGTTTAAGGTGCTGGTTTTGACCTTTAAAGCCCTATGTGGCCTAGGACCCTCGTACTTATGGGACCGCCTCTCCTGGTATGTGTTAGGATTTTTCCGTTCCACCTTAAGAAGGGAGCAGGTTGTTGTGTCACAGCCTGCGTATTTCCTGTTCACAGAATGTTTCTGTTTTTGTATATAGCTTTTGTTTCCTCTCTCTGCGCCTGGACATCGAAGCAGGCAGTCATGTTTTTTCTTTGTTCTGACCAAAGCTGAATAAAGTTGTAAATAATGCTCTCCTGAGTGTATCTTTCGTTGTGCGAACTCTGCAAAGGGCGTGCACAAGTCCTTGGAATGTGGGAGCTGTTTCTGAGGCTTGTGTCGCTAATTGACTGATACTGCGTTTCTACGGGAGATTGATGGATCGTCCGGAGACGGCGTGGGGGCATGATGGCCTTTGTCTCCCTGGCAGTATCCCAACAGTATGTCCCGCAGAGGACCCTAATGTCCATGAATAATAATAGCTTGAAGGTCCCAGGCCCTAAGGAAGCCAGACTATCCTCCACCAGGGCTAGGGCTGGTGGAATGCTCTGTCCCACGAGACTAGGGCCCTGCAGGACTTGATCTTCTTCCGCAGTCCCTGTAAGACAGAGCTATTCTGCCTGGCCTTCAATTTGAATTAGCCTGATCCTCGATTCTCTATTCCCTTTTCCCTTTCCTCTTCTATGAAGAAACCCTTTCTGGGACCCCACATTTAAATTCTTATTCACACACCTCTTTGCTGGCCCTAGTAGGACCAACTTGGCCAGTTAGCCCTGGTGATCATTTGATGTCTACTATCTGGGTCCCCCCCCCAAAAAAATACCCCTGAATTTTTGAAATTTACTGATATTGATGCTGCAATTTATGTTGTACTCTATGCTGTTTTATGCTGTTTTTAAGTCACATTTTAATCAGTGTTTTATATTTGATGTTAGCTGCCCTGAGCCCAGTTTTTAAACTGGGAAGGGCGGGGTATAAATAAATTATTTTATTCATTCATTCATTCATTCATTCCACATGGAGTCTAGTTAATAAGGGCTAATAGGCACTGCCCCACCAACCACAATCTGCCCTCAGCCACTCCCTACCTGCCCACCTTCTTACTTACAACCAGCTTTCCATTGGCTCCGGCTTTGCCTCTTGTTAATGTCCCTACCTTCTGCCCTACCAGTCAGAATGGGCACCGGCCACTGCTGCACATTCCATGTTGGATATCCTGGCTTCTAAAAATACAAGAGAATCCTGTTACTCATCTGACCAAACTGTAGTAGATGGTGATGAGCAAAAGCAATACTGAACAGAACATTTCCATACTTGAAGATTAACTCCACTTAATCCCATATTGAGAAAGGGCTTGAATGTGATACCACTTAAGGAACAAGCACCCGCCCACCCTGCAAATTGCTTAATAAGCAGAACCTATCTGCATGGTTTGAAAACATGTTCAAGAGCCGTTTGGATCTCAATATTATAACAGAAGTCACAGCGGCTAACCTAGCATGACTATTTCAATAGACTTAAATCCTACCTTTTCATTTCAAACTGCAAAGAAGGCAATTTGCAATAATACTTGCTGTTGCCATGATAATAAACAAAAAGTCAAGGGCATACAATTCTGATGGATTACATCTTCTTAAATCAGTTGTGATTTATGGAGAACTAAGTAAGATTTTCTCAATTAAAAAGTTTGAAGATTTTCCCCCCCAAGAAGGAAAACATGAATATAATTTATTGTGCCTTCTTTGCTACAAAAAATAAGTTTGCTGGCAAAAAGGATTATTACAATAGTGACAGTTAAACAAAGGAAGCAAAAAAACAAAAACAAAAAACCAGTCACTGATTAATCATGCAGTGTCTGAAGAGTAGGAGAAATAAAACTGTAAGGAAATAATAGGGCCCCATTTCAAGGTGTACACAAAGCAAACCCTAGAATATGGAATCAAAATTATTTTGAAACCTTTGTAATGGAATGGGACACTTCAGAATGTATGTGGAATTATCAGCTTTATAAGCATGGGGGATAAACAGGGCTTCTTTCGGGACTTCCGGGTTGGCGCCTCCGGTAATGGCGGAATTCCTCTGATCGGGAGGAATTCGCCTCGTGAAAATTCGGGTCTGGCCGCCACGGCGAAGGCGGAGACCCACTAAAAATCACAGGCGGGTGAAGCCTGTGAACGTGGGATTCGGCTGGCACCTTTTGTGCCTTCCCTACTCGCGGGGAAACCCGGTTTCGGGGATCCGGAGCGACGTGGGGTGAGCGGCACGGTGCTTCGAATTGATTGCTTCTTCCACGGAGTGAAGCCGCATAGCTGTTGCCAGAGAGCGCTGACTTTTTCCTGTGGACAATTTGATCTTAAAGCAACTACCCGTGAGTAGAGCGGAGAATTGGATTTTTAAACGTCTTAATTTGGTGTTGAAACGGGGAGGTCCAAAACAGGAAGTCCACCTTCCCTCTTTGTAAATAGATTGAAGCAATGAATGCAAGCTGAAGTCGCGGAAAGTCTATCCTAAAGGACTAAATTTCCATCAGTAAAAAATACTAAACCCCCCTTAGTGGCAGGAGAAGAGGGGGGAAAGCTTTGGACTGAATATACCTGCAGGAGAGAGCGAACAGAGTTAAAATACCACCGCTCCGATCCTGGAAACGGGCTGCTGGTAGGATTGACGTGCCTTAGAATGCTTATTGACTGCGATTAGAACGTTCACTGACAGCTAGTTAAATAAGAGAAATACTTTGTTTCCATTGTCTCTGTCTGCGTTTAAAAAGAAGTAAAAGTAATTGAAAATTGAAACTAACTTTATTGTTTGGACTGTGTTTAAAAGGACCAATACAAATGGAAACTGTTTCCCTCTAGAGGAAGCCTTTGAAACCGTTACAAGAGTTGAGCTGGGGGAATTTCCAGCTGCAAGATAAAAAGCTGTGAGACTCTGGGACTGACCTTGAATCGGTTAAGAATGTTGACAGAAGAGGCCTTAGTGGCAGTACTAAGTAAGATAAATGACTCACTGGAACAGCTTAACAAGAAGGTGGATGTGGTAACTACCAAAATCGATAATTTGGGACAAAAAGTGAACATCAATACAGAAACTATTCAGAAATTGATACAGGAATCTACTTTGACATGGCAAACTGTGGAGAAGACCAGGGAGAAAGTTGCTGTTGTTGAACCTAAAGTAACACAACTGGAGAGAGAGAGGGTCCCAGCCTTACGGATGCAATTTGATGATCATAAGTTGATGCCTTCTATGATTGAATTTAAAGAAAATCAGATTTCGAGGACCAGAGCTCTACCCGAACTGGAAAAGGAAAGTTTGATAGATCCCCTCACACAGGAACTTGCTGATTTTTGGGACCTGGACTTGGGTCAAGAAGAGATTAAAATTGTGAGGGCCTTCAGACTTGGAGAAATTTTGAAAGACGTCCCGAAATATCTTTTGGATCTTAGTTTTAACTACGGAGATTTGGCTGCCCTGTCGAGAAGGAATAAAATCATCTCTAGGTGGGAGTTTCCCCGAGATCTACCCTTCAGTCTCAAAGGAAGGAAAATAAAAATAAGATCAGTAGAAGATAAAGTAAAGTGCATGTACAAATATGAAGATTTGCAGAAGGGACTTGGAAAAGACTTAAGAGCCTCGGACAGAAGATTACCAGGTTGATGGACTATATGGAATTGACTGGCAGAATC